ATAATAATTGAATAAACATACAGTCGTAAGCTATTTCAAACTTTATATTAGAAAAAATTTACGATATTTTATTTTCAAGTATAATAAAAAATAGAACAAGTCTAAAAGAAGGTAAAAAAACTTTAACTGATGTAAGAAACAGAATTTATTAAAGTTCCTTATAACAGAAAATTCTAATTCTGCAAGTTAATAAAAAATGAGATTTGAAGATTCTAATTTTCTCAGAAACTGTCTAGTTAAAAACCTTGTGTTTCTATATTTAATAAATCAGAAGTCATGTATTTATTTGATTAATTTTTATTTTAATAAGTACGTATAGGAGCACGATCAAAACTTTTCAGGCAACAATAGATCAAATCGATTTGCACATATAAATGAAAGTTCTATGAAGATATGCTTCTTTTAATACGAGAATAATGATAAAACATACACAAATGAAGTTTATGAAGATATGATTTTTCTTGTGACGATAAAACGCACAAATTCGATTAAATGATAAATCTCCTTTTTTTCTACTTTTCTATAATTAGAACGATAAACTAAAAAAACCAAAATCGAAATATGCAAAATACAGACTTTTACTCTACACACATAAAATGTATCAATACGTACTGTTAACACAATGGTGCAGCGATTTATTGTATCACCATTTCAAGTTTTAATCACTAAATCAATTTTATAAAGTGAACTTTGTCTAATATCTCGAATTTGCATAATTCTAATAAATGCTTTATTGTAGAAATGATTATTATTGCAGAAAGTGTTCAGTTCACAGTACTCATGGTTGTAGTGAATCTATCCCATTTGAAAAATTTACCGATATTAATATCAAGTTTTGGATTATAGGATAATATAAAGAAATCATTACGCAATTTACATCGAAGTTTATAAATATGACAGGTAAAATGAACGATTTCTAAAGTGTAAACAAGTTGTTTTTTTGTTTTCTATCTAATAAAATTAAACTTCAAAATAGATACCGACTGTTTTAAAATGTACTGCACTTGGTAGTTCTTATGGAATAAACTATTATGGAATCACTAAAAGATGAATACTCGAGTATGAAAAGATGGCAAATATATCAATTACAACTATGAAGAATTGACTTGGGGAGAGAATTTTATATAAAAAAATAATTTCTATCATCTATGCAATCACGAAGCATCGTGAATTTCACCCTGGAAATATATTATTGAAATATAGTGGTTTCATTGCGATTTTGGACTTACAAGTCCTGTTAATTCAAATAAACTTAATGAAAAGATTTGCTAAGTATTTTTTATATTAGTCCGGGTGCTAAATGAAATTGTAGTAAGTGGACGATCATCTGGTGGGTGGAGTCATGATAGATGTTTAAAGATTGTCTCCATTCCCACACGTCCTACACGATCTTACTATGAACAGTCTTATAAATGTAGGACCAAGACTGTGGTCTCAAATTTAAAACGAATTACGATTAGAATTACGTATTGCTGATGATCACATACTAAATCAGTCTTTTTCCTCTGCAGTCTTACACAAAAAAAGACCGGCCTGTCTTTTATCAAGACAAACTGTAGTCTTCTAGGATTGGTGATCTCTTTATATAGATCTCGTATACGACATTTATAAAGGAGCGCGACCTACGATACCGAATACTGTGCCCGGATGTAAATTTATTATTGAAAAATGTTGGGATCCTACTCCAGAAAATAGATCATCTGCTCGCAAAATTATCGGACTTATCTACGATTATGAGGATGGATGGAGACTGAGTGATTGGAATTTTCAGTACTGTTGCGTCGATTATAATAATTAGTTAAAGTGGGGTTTTTCGCAACAGGAATGAGAGCTAGACTGAATTATTTACGAGTAAAGGGTTTCTTTTGGCGTTCTAAAGGCTTCCCGTGGCGACTTGTACGCAAATCGACGTTGTAAAGATAAGGGCACGTTTGTAAATAATAGTATTATAGTAAAAAGAATTATCCAAAATCAAATTAATAATTATAACACGATAGGACTTATTGATGCAGCCTATTTAGAAAACAATTCAACAGGACTTATTGATGCAGCCTGGACAAAGAAAAACTCAAATCTAAATGACAATAATATCAAAAACACGATCGACGGCTTATTTGAGTGGAGGCACATCCACTACTTGCAATTACTCGCAAGGTTTGAAGTTTGATCAAGAAAATAAAATAATAGTGTATTCACAAGTAGTATTACTATTACAAGTAAAAACTTTGTTATTTTATTAGATCGAAAGCATGTTTCTACGAAGGCACGAAAGCACCTCTATATACAGGGTTGAATTACTACACTGATTCTAAGGTTAGTATTTTACATCTGTTTCTTTGGGCTTATTATCAACAATCAAGTATCCATCGTTCGATTTTTAATCTATTTTTCTTAAAGGACTATTCTCTACAGATAATCGTTTGTCCTTTGGCTAATCACGCGTCGAGACGTTCAATAATATTAAAGAATCGGAAGGGATATTTATGACTAAGGCGAAAGGTATTGTCTCGTAACGAAATGCTTCTATTTTCGTATTGTGATTCGGAATAAATCGAAAGGGGATTTACGGAATTAGGAAATTCTATTGTGGATTATTTAAGGGTGGATTTTCATGGACAAATTAAGTGCATAAATTATGGAATTAAGGGATTTAACGTCACTTTGGTAACAGTACTACAGTTCTATAGAATATCCTAGAACACATGAAGCAATTAAACGAACTCAATGATTATAATGCCGTTAAAACATTATACAGTCAGAGCTCGATTTACTAATCAAATTTCAAGATATCGCTAAAATACTAAATCGAGAGAATACTAATAGATATCGCTAAATTGAGTGCAATTATAATATAATGATTTAGAAACAACAGTCGTTAACTTACGATTTCATTAAATCGAGCCCTGACTGTATTTATTTCTCATTGTTATATTGCAAAGGTCATAAAACGAACAGTAAACATATTGAAAATATGTCGGAAGCAAATAAACGAGGAATGATTTCATTTTATTCAATTAAGAAAATAGGGATATTATTTTATCTATTATCAATTAAAAAAAGGACAATTGTGAAGGTTAAATTTATATTTTAGTTAATGATCTTTCTCACAAATATTATAATTTTTTTTATAAAAAATCTAACAATTTTTATTTTTCTTAGCAAGAATTGACTCATCTTTCATTTTATAAGTGTATGTATCTAATGCAAAAAATAATACATCGCTTGTAGGCATGTCAATATTGATAAAGTATGTCATTTTTCATACATAACAATAAACAAGTCGATTTTACACTCTTTTTGGCACAATAGTGAAAAAACACACAAATGAAAATTAAATACATTCCTAAGTAATAAACAGCTCACTTCTATTTTGTTTAGAACGCCAATTAACTTTTGATCTAAACTTCTTTGATTGTTATCGAAATGTAGTCATTTTCTTTGTCGATACTTGATTTACCAATCTTTGAAAATATAAAATAACGCCATTATTATGCATGTATTGGGTAAAATGCCTTTAATTAATAACAATAATAGGAATTATTGAATGAGTTTTCACTATAATAAATAGGTACCTGTAAATTTCTGGAAAACACGGAAATATACAAAGAGCTTGTTATACCTGTAAGCACCCGTAAAAAATGTCGTATTACAGGTGCTTATAGTTAGGTAAAAGTCTTTTTGTATGTTTTACAGACATCTACATGCGCCTATTTATTATAAGGTTTGATACATTAACTGAATAGTAATGACCATAGTGATAGGAAAACGTATTATGATGAAATTAATTAATACTGTATTTTCTAGCATCAGACGAAGTGTGATTGTATTACAATAGTTCCATATATACAAACGCTAATGTATCTGGCGTTGGAAAATGTATTTAAAAGAGTATATATTTAGTAGTAAGGTTGTGTTTATTTATAATATCGATATCTACCATGATAATATTTATCGTTATATTTTCAATATTACAATGATGTATCGTATGTAGTGATTGGGCTAAATGGTTTAGAACAATTTATGCATCTAGGACTTAAAAGGTTAAATTAAAAGGCTAAATTATTAAATAAGCTAAACTAATTAGGACTACTAGAATCTATAAAAAAAATTATAATAAAATTTCAAAAATATAATGTACATGTACATGTACATGTACTACATTTTTATTATACATGTATAATGATGAAATAAAGTTATAATTAATTATTTCATAAAAGTAATTTTCACAATGAAAAACGAAAAACACGATTTGATTACAAATAGTCTTTTGATTTCGATTATCTTATCATCTGAAGATTATTGTTTGAAAGTACATGTACTATAAAAAGCAGTTTTTCAATGGAATTTTTATGATTATTGTTCGCATGTATATAGTATCGAATGTTGCACGAGTAATATATCAAGAATTTTTTCATAACGATAAGTGTGGACGTGCCATAAAAGTAAGGATCTGCATTTTTCTGGAAACTGACTGGCTAACACAAATATCTGAAAATTAATACATGTATGTAGATATTAAAGCTCTGTTCGGGTCGGGTTTGAGGTCAACTCGATCCGATAAATTCGGATCGGTTCGGGTCGGTTTGATCCGAAAATCGTAAATAGTCTTTCGTTAATTACTTTTATTTTTACCAAGACACTTGTATTGGAAATTTTCGTTCAATATTGAACGAGAAATAACGATTTTTAGTCTGATCCGAAATATTTCGGTCGGATTTGACACCAACCCGACCTGAAATGTGCGGGGCGGGTCACGGATTGGACCCGACCAGATTTGAGCATTAGTAGATATTTTGATAGAGAATATTTTAATCGATGTCGTCATCGAAAAGTTAGTAGTTTGTCTATAAAAGCAGTTTGCAAAAATCTATGTATTATGTAAATACGCTTAAATTTTAAATTCAAGCAGAAAGAATTCTTTTTAAAGAACCAATCACTCAGTTCTTCGCCTGTGATTTTATTAACCAACATCATAAAATTTCTTGCGTTAAGATAAGAAAATGAGCCAAAACAGTGAAAGTGTTGTTAATTTATTTCAAACCAAAATCAATAATATAAGTAAGTTTTATTTTAATAGTCTATTAAATAAATACATAAGAGAATAATTTTTTGATGATATCTACAGCTAGAATTCGTATAGAACGTCATAATCTGCGTGATAACACAAAGAAAAATATTGGATACTTCGATATAGGCACGGGATTGGATGATATATATTTTTCACATCTGTTCGACAAAATAAGAGCTTTAATAACTAGATCGGAGAGAACTTATGACGAAGAAAGTAATATTGGTGGAAGTCATAATATTGATGGAAGTCAAACAGTGGATCATGGCCCGATGCAAAACAACGAAAAGCAAATTATCGGATACTTCAAGACCAGCACGGGGCTGAAATTCAAATTCTCAATTGCAATATGTGACACTGCTGATAGCACCTGCAGAATTGCTTTTGCTTTTTATAATCTTTCCTTTGATCAGAATAAATCGGATTCCGAGATAGGTATAATCTTTAGATTAGCCGATAAATCAATCTTGAAGAGATTTAGCACAAAGGATATCTTTTTGTTCACATATAACTCATCTACTAATAGCGTGGAACAACATGAACGATTTAATGGAATTGGAAACGGAATTATCAGATTCCTTAATAAGGACGAACTTATCATACTACGACGAAATGATTTTAGAATAATCCAAATTTACAATCGTGATTTGGGAATAAGGAACGCAATAGAAGTCACAAGATCTTTCTTTAATCAAAGTACCACTACGAAAAGAACAAATATCGATCATGCTTACCCTCCACCAATGCACAAATTTGAAAAATATAAGATATCCGGAGAGATTGTTGAAAACAAATTAAATAATTGCATAATAGATAATTATTTATTTTCCATCAGCAGTAAAAAAAGTAATAGAATCGAGAGATATAACCTCAAAACAGGTGAACTCGATAAATTATTTAATATTATATATTATGAGGATTCGAAGCCTAAAGACAACAAAATTAAGCGATATGAGATTTTACCTACATTTGCCGTTTCCACGAAGGATAACGAGAATGACGAATCACAATATTTAGCCGCTACAATGGGTGATAATTCATTCACAATATACTTTCTCCCCAATTCAATCAATTTAACAACACGCAAATTACCTAATAAACATGCAAAAATCAAGTTTATGGCCTTTATTGCGAAAAATACGAAACTTTTGATAGTTTGTGAAAAAGAAACAGCATCCACATCATCGCCATCATCGTCTTCAGCATCATCTTCGTCGTCACCTGCTCGTAACGAAGAGCAATGTAAAACATATGAAAAGGAAATTTGGATTTGGAACATGCCAGGAACTTCAAACTTTGAAGATTCTCAAGAAAAACGACTTTTGGAGTATACTGCTGAAAAACTTAATATCAAAATAGAAGAAAGAGACCAAGAGTATTTCACGTTAAAATTTAATGACGTGGATAATTTGGAATTTTTTAAAGTAAAGAATAATATTTACTTTAAAGAAGATGAAAACTTCAAATTATTTTACTCGTGCATAAACTCGGATTCGAATAACGCGATAAATAAAAGTCCAGGAAACAACAGTTTATCAAATTTATTATCTGAAAACAGCGAAGAATTGGATTCAGCATCGGAATTTATTAACAACGATGATGAAATGTACAATATTACCAATATCAATTTCAATAAAGAACAAATTGAGATCAGAGTTTCACATAATATAATACAAATTTGGATAAAAAACGAAAACTTAAAAACCTTACGGAACATCTGGTCCATCCCCCCGATATTTTCGAAATATTTAAAAGATTCTATCATACTTAAAGACGATAGCTTAGTCAATGGTGACGAATTAAAAATAAAGATAAAATCACAAAATGAAATAGACACAATCTTTGAACATTCCATTAAAATAGAACCGCATGCAATGTCCATACTAGGAATGATAAGTGCCTTGAAATTGTTACTAAAACAAAAACAAGGACTCGAAAAGGAGAAGGCAGCAAGAGAAAAAGAAATGAACGATGTCGTGAGTCTTAATAATAAAATAGCAGAGCTCAAAGATCTTCTTCAAAACATAAAACAACAACTCGCACCTGACATTATTGAGAAAGCAATTATTAAGAAGGATGATTTCCGAATATTAGATGTTCGGTTTCATATCGTGGCGACAATGATCGAAGCGGACTTGATAGCAGTAGTTCGTGAAAAAATCGTCATTAATCCTAAACTACGATTACACATTCCAGAACAAGTCATTCAACATCAAAATAATGAAATAAAGTATAACTTCGTATGCTTTCTTCCTAAACCAATAGTCAACAAAGAGTATCGTAGTGCTTTGATGATTGCAAGTGATCATTCTCAGCATGATACAGTGGAATCTCTTTTAAATTATTATTCTGCTAATGCTGAAAGTGAAGTAAACTGGATGGAAACTGTTACGCAAGCTTTACCCGAACTGATCACAAAATATCCAAGTATGTACATGTGTATATGTATGCGTATTGAGATATTTATATTTTGAAACCACTAATTGAAAATCATTTTTTTAGAGCTTGTGAATGAACTAATGAAAAATAAAATTTTCCATCAAAAAGAGATTCCTCTAGATAAATCATGGAAATTTTATCGACCACCTGACAAATATGATTCAGTTCGTTCATTTCATTGCGAATTTAATCTTTTCAATAGTTTTCGTCAAGAACAACTGGAGCTATTGGAAAAGGAAAAACAAAACCACAGCTCTCAATATCGAAAAACGAACACGAAATATCATCAAGTCCCGCTTCCAGGAGTGATTCAAGGCTTAAAAAAAAGATATAATGAAGCCATTCTCGACTATATTTACAATTTTATATTAAATTTAATTTTCCTTGAACGAAATCGTGGCACCAGAAGCCCATTTATCTATCTCGTAACCCGTGATATCACTGGTGAAATTTTTGACAATCCCTCAATCGAAGCAATCGTTGATTGCCAATGGCGTCATTATGCTAGAGCCTTTATTATTATAAGGTTCTTATTATATGTTCTTTATGCAATACTATTTTTGTGGCAAAGTTATGCACATTTAAATAAGATTGTGTATGGAGGAACAGTTGGCGCTTTATTTAAGCCGATTTCTGGCATAATGTGTGGCGTTGCATATATAGATTTTACAGAAAAAGTACGAAGAGGTCGTTATATACCTTGGTCGCAACATTTACCATCAATTTTATACGTATTCGATCTTTTTGGCTCAACTTTACCATTTTTTGGTTCAGCATGGATGTTGTGGGTTCATACACATTATGTTGACTTGCTACCTTTCGATGAGATAAGAAATGAATCTCTTTACTGCCAACAGTATACAGAACAATGTCAAGTAGAAGTTATATTCTACTCGCTGGCTGGGTTGTTATTATGGGTTGTTTTTGTAAGTGCTCGATAACTTACTTTCTTATGATTAGTTCATGTTATGACATTGAATTTAAAATAACCATTATTTTTTAGTTCTTCCAAATGCGCTTCTTGCCACGTAAGTTCTTAACGTAATATATTTTTATCTGAAAAAAGCTTATATTCATATAATTAACTCAATATAAATATAGTGGTTGGAAAGTATATATTTATTATCATAAACGTGATCATAAATATATTTGGATTCCTCCTTTCTCAGTTATTTATTGTTGTGGGTTTCGCAATCTCTATGTAAGCATTTTATGATTCTTTAGTTTTCTTTCTATTGTTCATACCAAAATTGATTATTGGATTTCAGGTTATTACTGTTACGATTTGCCCCCGGTATTGGTGTATTTCCTCAACCAGCAACGTTTAATGGACATTTTACAGATCCTAACAATCGAACAGCACATCCGGATTTTAACATGAAGCAAAAATTGGATTGGACGGATAGATCAGATAATTACTTTTACGAGTGGGATAAATCAATCGAAGCTGTATACTTTTGGATCTCTGGACGCTGGGATCAGATCGACAATTGGGAATTTTGGCCAGTTGATCTAGTCACGATGCTTGGCAGTATATTTCTGGCCACACTTATGCAAAATCTTTTGATCGGTTTAATGGGGTAATTTATATTTACTTAACCTAAATACAATTTATAAGAAATAATTTAGTCAATATAATAATCTATTTTAGAAAAGCACTAGATGAAACAGCTCTAGAGAAAAGAGCAGTCGTACAAATGCGTGCGCATCTTTTAATAAATTATCCAGATGCATTTTCGCAAATCAGACACGTCTATTACTCTATTCCAGGTAAAGAACTGAAAAAACTAAGAAAGAAAATCAAAGAAGAAATAAGCGACGAGTCATATGAGGAAAACCCAATAGAAAATCCTACGGCGGGATTAGAAAGTCGTAAGACGGAATCAGAAAAACAGCCAATAGAAAATCCTACGGCGGGATTAGAAAGTCGTATGGCGGAATTAGAAAATAGTATGAAGGGATTAGAAACATCTCTTAGTAAAATTCTTGAAAAATTAAATCAGATAGCACAATAATATTTTATACATGTATTTAATGTTAACATAGCAGAAATTGCTAATTGATTTTTATTTTTGCCTTTTCAAGTAAATTATTTTCGTTTTGTGTTTGATGAGTATTATTCAACGGTTTTTACGTATTGCGGACTGCACGCGCTTCTTTCAAATGCTTGAATTGTTTCGATTCTTATTAGCTAATTACAGATCACTAATGCTCATGTTCAAAAAAGGATATGAAAGTAGAATAGATTGTTTCAATATTCTTAAATGTTCCATTTTTTTAATAAGACGCGTATTTTTATATATTTAGTGAACACGAACGAATTGGGTTTTGGTTATATCGATATATGTATGTTGTGTCTCAGATCACAACTTGCCTCAGATCACGCTCAGCCAAATTAAGATAGGGTATTACTAGAGTTAGGGTTTGGGTTAACGTTAATGCTGGGAGATAAGTTAATGTTGGCCGAAAATGAGCACGTGAAGTGTGATCTGAGGCACAACATATATATATACTATATATAATGAGAGATTATGTACATGTATTACAAAATTGAGAAACAATGAGTGATGTAAGTTACGTATTTTGAACATAGTTTTACCGAGATGTAACAAATTTCGTCGATCTCGTAATTCCCGGAGAAGCTCGCTCGTATCGATTTCAACAATTTACAGAACTTTGTCTCTCCGAATGTCCTGCTTTTCCTATTTTAGATTTACTTCTATTTTCTTTTCCATAATAGTAATTCGCTTGTAAATTAACTTTTTCTCTCCGTTTTTCGCTTTCAAATTCGCTTTTAAGTTCACTTTTATCTATTCATTCGTTTTTCGTTTTAAATTCGCTTTTGTTTGTTCACAAGTTTTTCATTTTCAAATTCGCTTCTGATTGTCTACCTGTTCTTTCATTTTTTTTTACTCATGAATTCGCTTTCAAGTTCGCTTATGTTTATTCGTAATAGTAAATTTTCTTTTAAATTCGTTTTTGTTTCCCACCCTTAGTCATATTTTCAATTTCACTTTCAAACAATAATATACACTATCCTAATATGTAACAAAAAAAATGTATATAAAGGTTCTCAAAAACATCAATAAAAACCAAAATTAATAGCGCACAATTCTTCTCCAAGTAAAGTAACACTTGTAAAATGGAAATAATTGCGTACAATTCTTCCATCAAATAGTATAGTTTGTAAAGATTGAATTGATTGACGGTTAGGTACTTAAATCCAAAAAAGGCATTGTTATTTGATAAAACGGCATATTGATCGATTGAAAAGCGCTTTGTGTCGAATAGTTTAAGGCTTTTAGCTAGAAAAATCAAACCATTTGAGTTTAGTTTAATAGATATTGTTAATAGACATTTTTGATAGGAATATCCCGCAACTTAAGAATAAATAAACCCAAATTCCCTTACCTAGATACTAAACCCGCCTCTTTGAAGCCACTCTCTCGTCATTAATCCAACAATATATGTAGATATCAGCATAGGAATTAGATACCGACGAACACGAATCAGTCTCTACACTCTCTCCACTCTTTTGTTGTACATAGGTAAAATTGTCAATTACGAACCATCCGCAACAATAGGACAGTGGCCCGGATAAAATCGGAACCAAATATTTTATCTGATAAAAATTAGCTCACTTAATATTAATGCATCATAAACTTCGAAAAATGCTAATTGTCGCATCGCATTGTCTAATAAATATACTGATAGTTATCTTCGTTTTCAATGGCAGCAACTCGTTTTCTTTAAGTTCCTCAGCTCGATTATCTATATTGTTATATATTGTTTCGGAATCCACTTTAATTCCAGATTGATGTGATGTGTGTGTGTTGTTTTGGGAATTTATGATTTATTACGTCTGAATTCCGAAATGACGTATTGGTATATTAGGAAAATAAATCGTCATTAATCATTTCGATTTTTTTACAATGCAACAGTAACGACGAAAAATGGAAACTTTGAACATTGTTATTCAAGCAATGATGAATACAATAACACAAATAATACAGAAACATATAATAGTAAGAATCAAAATCGCACCCTGAAACCTCTCAAGATCCACGTCGATTCCAAATTGACGTGTTCAGGTTATCGTTATATCTAACAAAATGTGACGACTAACTCGTAAACTCATCGTCACTCAAATGACGACACACACGTGATCATGTCGTAGAAATAACCTAAACTAAGTAGAATGATATAATTATATCGATATTATTTCCACTAACGTATTGAAAACCAATGGACAACTGGTCATCAAAATCTAATAAATCACGTCACTCGTAATGATATCCATTTCGATAAATATCGTCATTTCTTACCTCTGATGCCTATGCATTTACCACGATAGACTTTGAGTTATATTGTCCCCTCACTTTGAATCATAGAAGAGTGGTAATGGCAAAAGCAGAAAAGCAGTGAAAATGATAACAATGTTGATATGATAGTAATGGTGACAATGAAAACGACAGCAGAAAAAATGTTTTTCATGATATCTAATTTTTTTATTATTCATCTTTAATTTGTCAGTACTAAGTGATTGTTTAACAATAAAAAATAATTGCTATATAAATAAGAACGCGTAGAAAATCAAACATTCTGATATAATCGTTAGAAACTTGAAATTTGCTAATAAAAACTTTCTTGAAACATGCTGAAAACTTTTAGAAAACATGACTTTGGAATATTATTGAAAAACTATATGATGATTAAAGCTCTGTTCGGGTCGGGTCGGGTCGGGTTTGACCCGAAAATCGTAAAATAGCTTTTCGTTAATAACGTTTCTTTTTACTAAGTCACTTGTATTTTGTGTCCCAAGTAGAGTTATTCGGAATGTAATTGTAAATATACCCACAAATTTTTGTTTAATTCAATTAATATTGAACGAGAAACAACGATTTTTAGGCTGACCCGAAATGTGCGTTCCGGATCGATCACGGATTGGCCCGACCCGATTGGAGCACTAGCTATGCTAGTTCCTTTAGACTTTGATGATATTCTTTGTGAGAAATTTGACTTTTCTGACTTGGTAGTGACATAAACTATTTAGATTCTGAAGAGGAGGATTATACTGAAGATATTTTACTTGTTATTAATTATCTTAACATATCTCTTTTATTTCAGCATACCAGCTCTTAAATGATACTTTAAATAAAGAAACTATATATATTAGAATTGTGATATATTTTATGTAATATAAGTTTATTATAGTACTCTTTCCCTTTCCTCCATGAAAGATATTTGAAGCATGTAATTTTATATGTTATATAATATATAAGACACTCTCCTCCAGGATATTACATAATATTTGTCACAGCACTTATTCGATTAATTTTGTATTTATTTATTTTATAGTGCGAATTATAAGTATTTTACCATTCTCAACAAAAATTTCGTAATTCCATAATTTTTATGTTATTACAAATTATGGTGTATCATAATTTTGTCTAATGATATTCATATTAATTTGATCTTTTATTTTCACCTTGTATCTCATTACATAATCAATTTAATAAAAAATTTCTAAATATTACTTACTTTTTGATCAGTAATTAAAATAATCATAAATAAATTATATTCTTGCATACTTTAACTTTTATTTTCACTTTTTATTTTTTTTGTATTTTTCACTCTCAAATTAATCTTTTTGCTATTGATGTATTTTATATTTTATTCACAACAAGAACATTCTTAATTCAAATTTCCTTATATTTATCCATTCATATTTATATTAATTTTACTTTTTATTTTCATTTTTATTTTCGTTACTATTTTTATTTATATTGTATTTTCTTAAAATTTATTTTGTATTATATAATTTTTCTTTAGAATCTTTCTTTTTACTGCAATCTTATGATTTTTTATCTTTAACCACTAATATTCATATTAATTTTCTCTTGTATTTTCTTTTAGTTTTTGTTCTCCTCTTAATATTGTTTAGTGATGTGATTTAGAATAATTATTAATCATGTAAATTGCAGAAATTTATAAAGAAAAATCTCATATTACTAGAAAATTTCATGCTCCAATCTAATAAAAATAACAAAGTTCTTACTTGTACTATTATACTTATAAATACATTATTATTTTTGTGATTATCTTCAAATCTTGAATACAAGTAGTGAATGTTCCTCCACTCTAAATAAGCTATTGACTTAATTATTTTTGTTTTTTAATTTTAGGCTGTGTCAATAAGTTCTGTTTATTTATTTAATATATTGACATAATAATTTTGTTTTATTTTCTTTATTGGCAGTTTCAATAAGTCCAATTAGTATTTTAATTTGTTAGGCAGTCTCAATAAGTTCTGTTATTTTTTTTAATAGTTATTCTACTTTTATTTTAGTTTATCTTATTCTTTTATTTATAGTGCTTATCATATATAATGAGAAAAATATATTGCAAACAGATTTTCTTAAGGCAACTTAGTAAATATCAGTTTTGATAAAATTTAATTAGCATTAACAAATTACGATAACTAGAATAAAATTAATAAATAAAAATTTTTAGTGGATAAATGTTCGAAAATTTAGTAAAGTGTCATGCAAATTTACTATAAAAAGATCAATCAAGTACGTAGTATTGAAATTCAAATACAGTAATATATTACCCCAGAGGTATGTAGAGATTCGGTACTGCATCGCCACACATTTTTGTACTAACAATACAATATTGTATACACTTGGAAAAGGGTTAGTATATTTGTACCATAATGTACCGAATCTGTATACATGTATATACTGTTAAAATAGTACATTACAGAACCAAAATGTGTGACTGTACAATACCGAATGTGAACTCCTAACCAACCCAATAAAAAAAGGCACGTACGTAAAATACACGGAAATCACAAGGAAGTAAAGCTCTATTCGGGTCGGGTCGGGTTTAACCAGAAAATCGTAAAATAGTTTTTCGTAATGACTTTTATTTTTACTTAGATACTTATATTTGCGTCTTAAGTAGAGTTGTTCGGAATGTAGTTGTGTACATTCACAAATTTTCGTCGAATTTC